ATATTTTTAGGATGCAGAAAATGTCAAAAGAACACCTTTACATATCTTATTAGTCAAAAAATGAGACTGTTAACATGCCTGAGAATTAAATTTGAGGAAAAAAACAGTTCTATACGAAAAAAAAAAAAAAGCATAACTTCACCAAAACTGAACATATCAAGCTTATTTTCAAAACTTAATCTGTATTTTAGTAACATTGATCACTCCTGTGAATTTCAAGACAATTGGCCAATCAAATTTCTGTTAAATGTGTAATAGGTATTGCATATATGCTGGAAAAAGTGAAAAAACAGCAAACGAAAAAAAAAAAAATGCATAACTTCACCAAAACTTAACAAATCAAGCTTATTTTCAAAACTTAATCTGTTTTTTAGTAACATTGATCACTCCAGACCTGTGAATTTCAAGACAATTGGCCAATCAAATTTCCATAAAATGTGTAATAGGTATTGCATATATGCTGGAAAAAGTGAAAAAAAAGCAAACTTTTATAAAAAATGGCCCAATCATGCAGATTTTCAGACTTGACCTGCGTATTATGGATATTCATCGGTTCTGTAAGTTTCAAGCCAAAAGGTAAAATGGTTTTCCACTTATCATGTTATCGGTGCTGCATATAAGCAGAAAAAACAGCATAACTTCCCTAAAAATGGTAGGTAAGATTTAGTGCAGAGTAGTTATACAAGGCAGCAAAGCTGTCAAATGTACAGACAAAAAGCAGAAAATAACAAAGCACAAAATAGGCTACTGTCAATGCAAAAGTAAATGTTAATTATGCTCAACAGGTAATACCAATGTAAGTTAAGTGTGTAACAAGCATAAGGCTTCAGGCCCATAGGAGTTCAAGTTTACACTTTGAAAATGCTAGAATGAGAAAAATGAAAATTTCACACAAAATTGCATAAATTCAATAATAAATGATAACCCAATTGAGCTGGCTTTCTAATTTGAACTGCATGCCAATCCTGAAAATCATACATGTAAGTTAAAAATAATAATAAGTAACACAGTTTTCTTTTCATAATGTTTGTAGTAGCAGTGCAAAAAGATTTTGTCAATTTTGGTGTAACATTACATAATAAATTAGAGAATAATAATCACCAATTTTTTATTATTGACTACAAATAGCATGGACATGTAGAAAATTTGATTACCATTCGGCTTCAAGGCCATGGGAGCTCTGAGTCCCACAATGAATATGCCAACATGATAAAAATGAATATTTCACTAAAATGTATAACTTCCAGAAAAAGAAGCCAATTAGACTGCTTTTCCAACTCAGGCTGCATTTTAGATACCATTCCCATAGATTTTAGAACGATCTATCCCTGTGGGGAGTCTCACTTGATTACTGTCAGCTTAGCTGGCTTAAGCGTCTGTCCCGCCTACTAAAAGCTGTAAGGGGGTAATTAACTATGGTGCGCGCTCGACTGAGTGCAATTTAGCGTGAACCCCCAGGGAGTTAGGTTGATCTAAATCTAAATATCTAGATCGATCTAAATTTCTGGGAATGCACCCTTAGTCCTGTGTGTCTTTTTTGAAAGTTTGATAATCATAAGTAACATGGTTTTCTCATAATGGTCATCATGGCAGCAGCACCCAAAATTATATTTTCTTCTATTTTGATGCAATATTACATAATGCTTAACAGCATAATGACCATCAATTTTTAATAATAAAATATACATATAATGGATTTTCAGAAAATGTGACTAGCATGGGTCTTCAAGCCCATGGAGGTTATAAGTCACACCTTGAAAATGCCAATATGTGAAAAATTAAATTTTCACAAAAAACTGTTTAACTGCCAGAAAAATTTACCAAACAGACTGCATTACCTACTGAAGCTGTATTTTAGTCCCATGTTTCTTTCCTGTAAGTTTGAGAACAGTAAGTGACATGGTTTTCCTTAAAGATGCATAAAAAGTCAATTTTTTGTCACNAATATGTGAAAAATTAAATTTTCACAAAAAACTGTTTAACTGCCAGAAAAATTTACCAAACAGACTGCATTACCTACTGAAGCTGTATTTTAGTCCCATGTTTCTTTCCTGTAAGTTTGAGAACAGTAAGTGACATGGTTTTCCTTAAAGATGCATAAAAAGTCAATTTTTTGTCACAAAAACCAACCAAATGCCAGCATATAGTTTCAAGTAGTATAACTAAGAGAATTACCAAAAGGCATTGTTTAATTTTACCCAAAAATGATGTTTGAACGGATTTTTCTGCTAGCATTCTATGCTGTATGTCAATGGGGCAGAAAAGTAGGTCACGAAAGTAGGTTAAATTTCCAACCAAAAATTTAAAGAAAGGAGCAGTCTAAAGCTCTTTTATGACTGATCGAGTGACCTATTCAGTTTATCCCTTGGCATGTCGAATATATTTGAGTCATATAATAATTTAAGTAGTAGAAGTGGTTTACATGTGTTACTGGGAATCCACGGTCCACCAATGCTTGGTTCATATGTACCTTTAAATGGTCATCATGGGAGCAGTGCCCAAAATCACTGACTCCAATTGTTACACTGCCCCCACCCTTTTAAATGATTCTACTAAATTATTTCACATTTTTCCCCTTTTTAGGGTCTCAAAGACTAAATGGTATCTTGTGTTTGTGGACTTTGGCTAATATATGTTTGATCCATAAGTGTCAAAGTGTATTTTTGTTTTACTTCAGAACTTGCCAACAGGTTTTGTTTGGTAAAAAAAAAATACCCGTAAGTGCTCAAGGCTTGCAGGAGATCTGCGCATCACCCAAATAAATCTGTATGAATTTCACCTATAACAAATTTTGTAATATTTGGTAAAGCTGACGTATTTCTATCAGATAGAATAAAGGATATGCAACATATTTCAACCCAGTGGACTTCATACTATTAGTAGATGTTTATAAACCAACAAGTACAATCTGTATTCTAAGGGTTCCATTCACTTTATTTACCAACTATGACTGAAGAGACAAACGTGTTTGAATGGGTGTGGTTCTTGTCATGACAGATATTAATGCTATTCATATGTAAAATTTGAGTAGATATATAAACCAATAATAAAACTAATGAACGTGACATCTAACTATGACTGAGTATGGTAATTACTATATCAATAATTAATATATATATATATGCAAATATAACTACAGGGTTCATACAAGAACAAAGAAAATCTCAAGTGTTTCCAAGGACTTTTGATGCTCTTTTTCAAGTACTTCTGACATTTTTTTTTTAATGTAGTTGAGGACATTTAATGGAGTACATCGCACAGAAACAAGCAGCAATGCTGTCAAATGTACAGACATAAAAGCAAATAATGATGCACAAAATGGGTTACTGTCTCAATTTTGATCCTCTTTTACATGATGCTTAACACCAAAATAAACACCAAATTTTAACGAGATTAAGCTCATTCAAGTTAAATGGTAGCTATGGATATATCTGTTTTAATTGTAATGAAATTGGAGCTAGTGGAATGTGGAAGATTAGGTCCAATGTCAAATTCAATAAAAGACAGAACATTTACAAAGAACAATTCATGGTGAGAAGTAGCTCAAAGGTCAAATTAATGTCACAGTAAGATGGCCCATATAAGACTTTCCATTCAAGTTCAATAATAACTATTGGTGTATCTCTGTCAGTTTTGGAGATATAACGGCCAGAAAATTTGCAAAGTTCAGTTCATGGTCGATAGTAGTTTGAAAGTCAAGATCAAGGTGATCTTTCAACTCAAGTTTAACCATATGGGCACATCTCTAGATCTGCTAGTTTTGGAATACTTAACATTTAAAAAAAATTTCAACACTAAGCATTACTTTTTGAAATAGTACATCTCCTAAACTATACGAAAAACACAAAACAAGGAAAGAAACCACTTTCAGTGTTGCACTTGAAAAGCACTACACATTGCAACAAACAAAAGGTCTCTAGCTTTTAAGGTTCCAGAATAACAGTTTTCAGTTGGGCATCTAATGGCTGCCTCTTGCGTCATAAGGTACCTATCGACCCCTAAATTAAGGATGATGAATAAAGACCCTAAGTGTAACTTCTCACCATAATATCAAACTAAATCACCAAAATTAAATACCTTTTCATATTTTTTAAACAAAATTTAAAGGGATAATAACTCTTTGTATGAGATCTATATTTCACAATAAAAACATTGTGAACAACTCATAGAAATATAATATATTCCGTTTTACCACAAAAACGGCAGTTATAGCTATTATTCTGATATCTGAGCTTGTCTTTAGACCATGTGCCCTCCATCGATGGCTATACTCTGTTATAATCTCTTAAGAGATTATAACAAAAAAACAAACTTTTTAGAAAAAAAAACAGGGACTAACTTTGAATGTAAAAATGGATTCATTAACCATTGGTAAGTATGGGAAAATTGTTGTTTACTCTAGGAAAATTCATTTTTTGGCCAAAAAGAAGTTATTATCCCTTTAATTTTGAAGTATAGGTTAAAATCTTATGTCATGCTCAAAATCTCCACGTCTTTTGGTCAGACTTCTATACTAACTTTTCCAATAATTCATTCAGTTTGGGAGATATTTTGAATTCAATTTTTACAATATGATATTTTGAAAAAATGTACTGATGTTGTGGAGTTTTGTTCTTGACTTTTATTTTAGTAATATTGATCATTCTTGTTTGAAGTCAACAGGCCTACCAGTTTTCCTTGAAATGTGAAAACAGCATAACTTTGAAAGAAATGGTCCAATCATGATTTTCAAACTTGACCTCTATTATATGAATATTCATCAGTTCTGCAGGTTTGAAGGAAATCGGTCAAACAGTTTTCCACTTATTGTGTTATCAGTGAGAGTGCATGGCGACGGCAACGACAGATGTTGGTCAAAGCTATATGTACAGACACAAGTCTGTGCATAAAATAGATAATTAACATTTCATATAAACTTTTTATTTTAATTTTTTGTTATTTTCATGCTTCGTCATTAACACATTAATGACGAAGCATGAAAATAACAAAAGATTTGACAATGTTATTTTTGACAATTTGGTCAGTAATCAAATTCAAGTACTTTTCAAGGACAAAAATGATGGAAAACAAGCCTTTTTCAATTATAACAGCAATTTCATGAACTACACAAGACCTCAAAATAAATTCAAAAAGCAGGCTTTAATTCAAGCATTTTTCAAGGCTGTATGAACTCTGAATTACAGGTAAGCAGGATGAAAAGAGGTACAGAGTCATTGAAAAACCTGACATTAAACCATTCACATTCTTGTGAACAACTAAAAAAGGTTACCATTTCAAGTCATTTCTTTCACTTCTGATAATAAACGTTGGCATTTCACCTGCATGTTTAATATAAGTCCAGTCTGAATGACTTTCTTTTTCTAAGATTCTCAGAAAAAATTCTCTCACTTTCTCTCCTTTTCATACCCCTACATAAATAAGAAACTATCTAATATGGAAATGCATGCTGGAAAGAGAAACTCTAAAGAAAATGGGAATAAATAAAACTTAAGTATAAAATGTTCATAAAACTACGTAAGTACAGAAAAAAAAGTCTGCACACCTTTAAGTACCAAAATGTATGCATCACCAAAGTGTGGAGTTCACCTTGGCAATGGAGTGGTAGGTTTACTAACATAAATGATAGCTAATAACCATTTCTTACTAAGACATATGCTAGCTACTGACCATTTCTTGCAAACTTACATGGAATTGAATGTCTGATTTGACAAATGAACGCAGAAACTTGTCCTTTGTACAGTAGTCTCAATCAGATTGCATATTCATGCTTTCACCAAATAAAGCTGATACCTGCACAGGTTATGTCATGTTTATTTTTAGCTCAAAGGGTTAATTCCCATAAACCTCATCAGTCTATGTAGATCGATCCAACAGTGCAGGGACTCACTGATTGCAATCAGCTTAACTGAATGACATACCTCCTCTTTATTCCTATGTACTCATCTAATCACCAGCTTTCCTGTATTATACACAAAGCCAGGAGGCATGTCATCCAGTTAAGCTGATTGCACGGAGACCCCACAGAGTTGGGGTGATCTACATAGACTACTGGGGTCTTAGAGCAAATTAGTCTTAATCTAAAGCCTTAGCAAAAAACCAAAAGTATGTATTCTCTAGATGAAATCCGTAGTGTCTTTTTCATATGATAAAAAACAACCCCAACTCATGACACATAATTCATTAATTGTACAAGAATTAAAATTTGCAGCATCAGCAAAGAGGCCAAATAAGCAGAGGTCATTGGTAAAATGCTGAAGCTTTCATGGATTTTAGTAAAAAAAGTTGCTTGCAAAACAATCCTTCAGTATAGAAGAGATGGGCAAGAGTGTAACCAAAAGTGTGATTCTTATAATTAACAGGATAATTTACATTTGTTGAAATCATCAAATAGTCAGTTTGTATTGTAGCTGTAAAATATCACATTTGGTCTTAAAAGTGGAAGAGTTGCGGTGTGATAACCGGCACGCCAATTGTCTCATTGCAATATCTGCAGTGCCCTTCCTTGTGGCATTAATAATCCTAAGAAATATGCCTTTCAGTGTATTTACCAAAATATGTAAAAAAACTTACTTCTTTATTTTATTTCCAAATTCTTACTCCCTGTCATAATAATTCCAACTAACTCATAATACTTAAACTGAGGTATAAATGTAATAAGGCCATCTGCCTACAATTTCATAAATTCTTGACAGTGAACATTCCCAGATACAACACAATCCATATAATTTTCAGTATATTCATAACTCCTACACATAAACACATATTAGGTTTTCTATTCAGACAAACCCAAACTCATTTGCAAAACAAATATTTCTTTAAAATCTCACCTTGTTAACAAGTGGAATTAGATTTTTTAAAGCTCTACAGGACTGGTTTAAAGATCTGTCTACCATTATTCCAGTTTTGCTCCAGTGAAGTAGTTGTTCTTTGTTTTTATTGTACACAATATATGTTCCTCATTGTTTACTCAAGGACAGCTGGCAAGATCTTTAAGGGTTATTATAACATATGCCCTTCCTTAAACAAAGTTTATTTTTGCTAATTTCTAGCATGAACTGGTCCAAATATTTTAACCTGGAGTTCTTTCTTTTCTAGTTATATCTGTGAAATGGGTTTGCCCCATTTGTTAGGCTTTCCTTATAACTTCATATGCTCAGTGTAATCATCAAATTAGACATAGATCTAGCTTGTACTAGACACATGGGACTTAAAATCGAGATATCTTTAAAATTCCACAAATGTAATTGATTTGTCATGTCTCCCATGACAAATCAACATGCAAAAAACTACCTGTAAAATGTTCCCATAACTTTTTTACTCTTTGCTTTGGATGATTGACTGTTTTAAGCAAAACCTGATATTTAAACATTATATAATGGGAAAAAAGACATAATAATAATAACACTTAGAACAACATTAAAAGTTATGTCATTACATTATACATTGATATTAAAGTGACAGCATAATAATACAGAAGCTTAACTTTATCAGTACACCCAGTCTATACTTTAACTTGATTTTTTCCCCAAAGAGATTGCTAACAGGATCAAAAACAATTTGAGGTTAAACTGGACAGAGCACATAATCATTATTTAAATGCGGGTCAATAGGAATAAATCATGATGAATTTGATAAGAAATATACAGAAAGTTAATCAACATAAAATATAAAATGTTTTACTCTTGCTATATAAAACCTTACATCAAAAACATCAGTTTCTAAGTTTTGGACTCAAAAGTTTTAAAAATATTTTGCACATAAGAGAAAACTAGATTGGTATAAATCTGAAAAGCCCAGTTTCATAAATTCTCTTCAATCTAGCTAAATTATGTTACTTAACCATGTCATTTAAATATGCTTTGACAGTCAAGTATTGCATGTTATACACTCAAACATTTAATACAAGGCTATTTTCTGAAGCTGAATAGCTAACTGATATTAGTCCCTCCTTATAAAAAACATAAATAAATAGAAGGTCATTATAATGCATGCACCAGCCAGTTTTCTTGTTTCAATGTCCCACCTTCTTGGTAACATGTACATAACTAAAAACTTTTATCTTTTCTTTCAAAATGATTGCCATCATCAAAATACATCTATCAATTACATATCATGAAGCCTTCCATTCTTGTTTTTAAATTGTTGACCCTGTTTTATTTCCCAATTCCATTTCATTCCAACAATGCATGGAGTCATAGCAGGAGAAAAGATAAACTAACTAAATGCATCCTCAATTCACAGTTCATATACAAACATTTTTCCAAGATGTTAAGGGGGTACATAAGCTGGTGGACTGCGGTAACCAGTCAAGACGACATTAGGGCGCTGTCTCTTGTTGTCTCTTGGTGCATACATTGGTGGTGGTGGTTGATACAAAGGGGCACTGGCATCAGCTTCCTCTGCCTCATCCACTTCAATACCACCCTTGTGGTCTGAGGGGGGAGTGGAATGGGGACTCCCTCCGGCTGGTGAGCGACCATGATATTCTGGAGGAGGCAATGGTGGCTTCTCATCCTCCATAATGAGTGGTTTGGTAGGTGGATCTGGTTTGTCTTCTAACTCATCAGCAAAGATGATGGGTATTCCTTTATTGATGAAAGTATTTTGGTCTTCATCAGACATCTTACCCTTTCGTTTCTTACGATACAGAATGCAAGCTATAATTCCTGCCAGCAACAACATGGCTGCTATTACAACAGCTGGAATCACCGTGGTGATCAGAATTTCATCCTCATCCTCTGACCCACCTGCAGCTGGTGGTGGTGGTGTTGGCTCGACAGATTCCTGCCCCTCAAACTTACAGTTTCCACTTGGTTGAAGACCCACACCCATAATCTTGTATGGAGCCATAGCCCTCTGGAAGTCTTCACTCACAGTCTGGTTTACAGTGATTAATTTCCGCACCAAAACTGACAAAGTAGACACAGGGCAGCGAGACTGGTCTAAACTCTTGTTGGCCCATTTGTAAATCACTGACCCTTGTTTCAGATCTGTTATCAGTATACTATTAGCATTAGCATCCCCATAGTACATTGCCAGCTTGTTGGTTATTTCTATCCTTTTTTCCAAACTTATAATAAAAGCAGAATAATTCATATTTATAGTCATGCTGAACTCATGGTTGGGCTCTTTTTTCTTTTCAATGTCAACAACATTGATTACAAATGGCATTTCAGCAATCTTTCCCATATTGTCTACAGCAGATATAATGTATTTGTTGGATCCCACTTCATCCCACATTGGCAGACCCCACAATCTTTGTTGTTTAGGATCAAACTGAATGCCAGAATTGGGTTTTAAACTGAAGCCTTGAGAGTCTGTGACCACAAGTGTCAAATGTTGGGTTCCTCCATCTTCATAATCGTAAAATGTATCGGCAGGGATTGTATAATTCAGTACCTGACCAGCCAGGACATTGATTGGCTCCAACTGATTTTTTATGGCAGGTTGTTGGTTAGATGTTTGTGTCACTGCCTTGTCTGTAGATTTTGGAGTGTCATTTTCAATGGGGTGCCTTGTAGTTTGGTCAAATTTAGGTGGTCGCCTAGTTGTAACTGGTGGTGGGGGTGATATAGGTGGTGTCAGAGGTGGAAACCTGGTTTGGGTAGTGGTCATGGTCTTGGTTGCTGTGGTCTTGTGAGCTGAGGTGGATGAGGTGATAACAGGACTTGGCTGTATGGGTTGGGTCACTCTAGGTGTTGTACCTTCCTTCCCTGAATCTGTCACAGATGGCTGAACTAGAGCTGGAATGGAACATAACATTAACTGATCTTTCACTTCAATATCACAAATTGCACAATCATTAATATGTCTTTTATAACATTAATTTCTGCATGCATAAAGTTGATATTTTCTATAGCTATCTATTGCAACAATGGGCAATAAACAAACTTTTAAAGCTGTGCATTTCTTTTCGACTATTTCTGGCTATGAAATACTTGATCAACTTACTAGGCGTGGTCACTTGACTCTGATAAGTCACCATAGGCACAGTAGATTCTGCCATTTTGGACATCTCTGGTGATGTTGGCGTGGCAGCCATTGACCTGGCAGTGCTGGTTTTATAATGACGTCCAGCGGTCTTTGTACGGTGGGGCTTTCTTGTTGTGGGCGACTCCTGCCCAGGAATAACTCTACTCATTTCTGGTGCCAACAAAGTATTCTGCTCAGCAGAGCTTGAATCCAGAGGAAGCTCAGAAGGTGGTGACACAGCTAGGGTTGGTGTTGCTGTGGATGCAGCACGACGCACTAACCTTTTTGCGTGTTGCTTAACCTGAGGAACATACGCTGTAACATACCAGCCAACAATGGGGTGGCCTACATTTGCCTTCATGCTTCCATCTTTGGATGTGATCTCTAGTTTTTGTAGCACTGGCATGTGATGGGACTCCACATTGCCACAACCAACCTTCCAACTCACAAAAGCACCTGAATGAGTTGGTGTCTTTACATCTCCAGGTCCTGCCACCAGTGCAGAGGCATCAAATAGAGTATTCTTGCCAACTGGCTTTAATTGCAAATTATCCTCTTGGATTGTCAAATGAGATGCCATTTTGGTGAGGAGTTTAACCTTCTGCTTGGGTGTCAAATGATCAAAATCTGTGTCAACTACCAGTGTCACTTTGGTAACAGGCTGTCCAGTTTGACAATAAATAGCCTTATGAGAATCATCACTCTTAGTTTTCAAAGGAACGGCTGTAGTGTGTGGGAGGTCCTTGACTACACTAACTTTAAACACATCTTGCACTGCAGCAGTGGAGTTATGTGTGGCCTTAATCTCAACATAATGGTGACCTAGATCTTCATGACTAGCAATGCCCTTTAAAGAATTGGAATCCTTATCATGTTCTAGCCATTTTGGAAGCCTTTCTTTTCCTGCCTCCGTCAGCTGGGAAAGATAAAAGTATATTTGTTAAAAGAATATCAATTATCTAACATTCAAGCCCATCTTATGGTCTTATCTGCCGTCATTTGTAACTACAATAGATATACAAGAACTTTGTGCCATTATTAGGCAATATTTTGTATTTTCAACAGAACTCTTCAGGTAGTGTCCTTATGATGTTCCTGGATATTCGTCTGATAGATTTTTCAGTAACTATTGTATCCATATTAAGATTGAACAAGGCAGCAAAGCTATCAAAGTTACAGACAAAAAAGCAGAAAATAATGATCCACAAAATGGGTTATTTTGTCAATTTTGATTTTGATTACATAGTGCTTCACAACAAATCAACAACAATGTTTATTATGCTTAACAGGTAACATGGCTATTTAGAATATGTAACTAGCATAGACTTCAGGCCCATGAGAGTTCAAGTCAAAACTTTGAAAACACCAGAATGAGAAAAATTAAAATTTCACAGAAAAAAAAAACAGCTTAAATACAAATTAAATAATTATGTATATCAGGTATCACAGATATTAAGACTAGGCAGCAAAGCTGTCAAATGAGATTTCCAAGTTCACATTTAGAAAATGCCAGAATGAGAAAAATGAAATTTGCACACACAAAAAAAGCAGAAAATAATGATGCACAAACAGCTACTGTCAACTCTGATGCAATAATACGTAATGTTTAACAGCAAAGTTAACTAAATTTGAATTCTACAGTATAGTCGAGTCGCCACTACCATAGGCCCAATAGTCGAACCCTGCAATGTTCTTTCCTGTAAACTTTTTTTGTTGAAATGCATTCTTCAGGCCGAGAGAAGCAAAATAAGCTTGGTTGCTATTTCCGAGACATTGAGCATTTTTCAATATGGCCGTCAATTTATGAGGAAAAATAGAAAAACTATCAGAAGTCACCGGGTAAACTTTATTGACAGCTTTTTTGAACGTGTATCCTATCAGGAGAGCACAACAAGTGAATACGCTTAATTGCGTACCACTTAGCAAAAAACCAAAATGACCGTCAAAACATATGGCAGAAAATGATAAAATCTGCAGAATCAGTTTGTTTTTTGAATATTTAGTTTTATTAAAACCATATCCCCTTTTCATATTTATGTTAATTATAATATTTTGTTAGTCATGACCCTAAACTCTTGGAATAAGCTTATCTGACATTTCAATAACCCCCCAAAGGTCTGTTTGCTACTTCCCCGGGTCCCATAGTCAAATACTAAGAATGTTATTCCCTGAAATTTTTGAAAGAATTTAACCCTGGTAGTGCTGACCCCGGAATATTCCGGGATGCGTAGCTACGCGCTGTGAACTGGGCCCGGAATATTCCGGGTCTGTCCATACGTCACAACCTTCTGATTTCAAAGTGGCTGCAGTATATCGCTAACAGAGCCTGGCGTGTTGTGGCATTTAACCAGGTTCCTGATTGTGGGGTGGGAACAGCCCATACATTATAGCTCAAATCAGACTCCCCTCACACCCAGTGCCCAGAGATGTACGTTGTTCACATGATAGACATGGCATGATTCCGTTCACTGGACTAACAATATGGGTGACCTTTTTGGGCCTTTATAGGCCCCCCGAAACCAATCCACAAAATGTGCACATGCCCATTGAGTATTGCTCAATGTGTATTTGGTCCATTTTTGCAAAAAAAAAAAAAAGCTTACCCATGTGCAATGAACCATGGCAACCTGACAATTTATAATTATCTTAACTACCCGAGCACTAAGTCACCACAATGAATAATTACATCTACCCTACAAGTAGAAAAATGCATACATTCCTATCTCAAAGCTTCCATTATCTGTAAGAATATATTGGCAAAAACAACATTTCAAATACATGATGTCGATGGGTAGTCCTCGCATATCCCCGAAATATGTCATGTTGTCAAGAATACCTGACCTCATGGGCCCTAACCGCTGAGTTCGTATACCCCTGCTTGGATCTTGACTATTTATTATAAAATTCCTTATTAAACAACAAAAATGCCTTTACCCATAGGTGTTAAAATATTTAAAAAGTTTACAAAAAAAGGAAAAGAATAATCAAACCTGAAGAAAAACGATTTGACGCCTTTTTTATTTCAAAATGATTTAGTTTACACATACTAGTATGATAATGCCTTTCATTTAATCATCCAGAATGTTATTTTTGATTTAGAAGTAAAAACTAGTTGTCAGGACTGAGATATCCGCAATCGGTGTTTGGTTTGATCATAGAGTAGCATTGACGGACATATTGGTTTTGGTTTTTCGTATAATTTAACCTAAAAATATGTTTTATTGTGTGCTATGTCTTGAGCGCAGGTATATCCTTTTTTTACTTTAGACCTGTATTTATATTTGTTCTAGTTAAAGTCTATTTCAGTTAAAAGCCTTGTAGTTTTACAGTTGTTTCTTTGCCCTTGCATTATGTTTTGGAGGCCATTTTTATTAAAAATAACTTGCAAAAATAAATAAATAATCGCACTTTGCATGGATATAAACATAAATATGCAATAAATGATAGACAGTGGAGTGAAGCATTAAATGTTTTATTTGAATGTATGACTCTCGCTATTCGCTGTTAGCTAGCAGGGGCGTAACCAGACCTTTTAAAGTTGTACGCACAGATTTTCAAAATTCCCAGGTACGGCTAAATGTAGACTTACGCAAACAGATAAAGGGCAGATAAAATTAAATGTACGGTCATTTTGAATATTGAAAAAAATATCAATATCTCTGGCAAATAAAGTCAAGCTTATAAGCTTCTCTAAGTTTTGTAACCCAGATAAAATAATTTCTTTTAAAAAAGCTTGCAAGATATAACATAGCAAGCTTTGCCCATGGGGCTCGTAGGAGTGGCAAATGGACTTTCAGGAGATGGCACCGTCTGCCACCATCTGATCAATGTCAAATAAGCAGTTTCTGAGAGTTTAGAATCATTACTTACAAATTATCATAATGGACATAAATAGAAAAGGCGGATATGTTTTCTAATAAGACTAAATTGGCAAAAAACAAACCGATTCTGCAGCTTTTTTTACTTTCTGCCATATGTTTTGACAGCCATTTTGGCTTTTTTGCAATATGTAACGGGCTTAAGTGTATTCACTAGTACTGTTGTGCTCTCCTGATAGGATACACGTTAAAAAAAGCTGTCAATAAAGTTTACCCGGCGACTTCAGGTCGTTTTTCTAATTTTCCTCATAAATTGACGGCCATATTGAAAAATGCTCAATGTCTCGGAAATAGCAACCAAACTAATTTTGCTTCTCTCGACCTAATGAATGCATTTCAGCAAAAAAAGTTTACAGGAAAAAACATTGCAGGGTTAGCGTTCTGGCTACTCGACTAGTACAGGTATTACGGAAGTCAGGAATATTTAACTAACATAAGGCTTCAGCCCTTGGAGAGTTCAAGTTCATACTTTGAAAATGCCAGCATAAAAAAATTAAATTTTCAAAAACATTGCATCAAACTAAAAAAAAAAAAATAATAACTAGAGGACCAGAGAGGCGATACCGCGTCCGGCTATTATACCACCAGCTGGAGTAAGCGCATTCATATGGAAAACCAGAAACAAACAGGAACAACCACCAGTGTTGTGTTTGACAAGCTCTTCAAAATGCAATAAACAAGACAAGAAATATGCCCCTTCCCCCTCCCCCCCTCAAAAACAAAACAAAAAAAAAAGCACAACTTTTATAAAAATCGTCTGATCAAGCGGATTTTCAAGACAATAGGCTTGTCAGTTTTCTTTGAAATGCATCATCAGTGTTGCATATATATTGAAAGAAAGAAATAGGCCTATCTCTGCCAGTTTTGGAAATATAAGGGATAGAAAATTTGCAAAGTTCAGTTCATGATGAAAAGAAGGTCAAAGGTCAATTTAAATGTGACAGTAAGATGTCCAGCATATGACTTCCTATTCAAGTTCAAAAGTAACCATGGGTGTATCACTGCCAGTATTGGAGATAAAAGAGATGGAAAAATTGCAAAGTTCAGTGCATGGTGAAAAGTAGGTCAAAGGTCAATTTCAAGGTCACAGTTAGATTGTCAGTATGTGACTTCCTATTCAAGTTCAATAGTAACTATGGGTGTATCTCTGCTAGTTTTGGTGATATAAGGGATGGAAAAATTGCAAAGTTCAGTTCATGGTGAAAAGTAGGTCAAAGGTCAATTTCAAGGTCACAGTTAGATTGCCAGTATATGACGTCCTATTCAACTTCATTAGTAACTATGGGTTTATCTCTGCTAGTTTTGGAGATATAAGCGATAGAAAAATTGCAAAGTTCAGTTCATGGTAAAAAGTAGGTCGAAGGTCAATTTCAAGGTCACAGTTACATTGCCAGTATATGACTTCCTATTCAAGTTCAATAGTAACTATGGGTGTATCTCAGCTACTTTTGGAGTATTTCATATTTTATTTTCACCATTGAATATTGCTCAGTTGTGCTTTTTGATATAGTGCAACTCCTTAACCATATCGCAAACAAAAAAATGGACACCACTTCCAGTATTGCGCTTGACAAGCTCTACATAATGCAAAAAACAAGAGGTCTCTAGCATTTACGGTTCCAGAATTAGGGAGAGTTTTCAGTTTCGGCATCTTATGGCCGTTTCTACCATGAAAATGCACTGATTGACACCAAACTCCCAAAGATGAAAGGAGTCCCTAATTGCATCCCCTCACTATAATATGAGTGCTAAACTCCGTGTAGTTTCTGAAATTCGGCACAAATAAAAGTTTTTTTTGCAAAAAATTCCCATTTTTAGAAAATTGTGGCCTGTTTGACCTTGAAAAAAGGTCAAAGGTCAAATTGGAAGACATATTTGAAATCCTCATATATGACTTTCGGACAGACTTCTATACTAATTTTTCCCATAATTCCTTCCGTTTAGGAGATATATAGCATTGAATTTTCAAAAAATTTGACAAGGGTGCATTTCATCGAGTGTCACGCCCAAGCGAATGCACCGACTGAGACAAAAAACCAGGGGGTTCAAGTTGAGATTATATGTGACCTAAATCCAAGAGATGGGGACACAGGTCCGTGTGGTCTAGGAGGAGAAGCGGTAATGGTGACTTGTATCCCACGCCACCCTGCGGAGCCAGCAGAACTTACGGAGCTGGCGGAGCTCACGGAGCCCGCTGAGCCGTACGATACGGGTCAGGACTAAAACCATGAGTACCGCCAGCGTACACGCTAATAATAATAATCCAATTAAGCACATTTTCAATTTCAGCTTTACATCAATCCTAAAAATCATTCTTTAAGTTACAAAATAATAGGTAACTCATAATTTTTGCGATGGTTGCACATGTTGTCGTTGCCATGCACTTTCAGTGCTAATGCAATAAGTCAGACATGCTGAAACTGTTGGTCCGATCAGTCATGACCGAGAAAATTTGTCTGGACCGGTAAAAAATCGTATTTGTTTTAAGAACTGCAATTTTGAATTTACAGTCACCGTTCTACATAATTCACTAATAAAATTATATAAAACTTAAAGCGTTTTTCCCTTCCATTTCAAACCTATCACATTCACAAACACAGTAAGCTATCTAATCCTACTGGTAGTATCTGTCTCAAGCGAATAAGGCGATTTTCGGTCTGACAAAAATCCATTCGGTCCGGCAAATTTTTCATTACTGCTAGTCCAAATGTCCGGCCATTCTGAAAAGTTTTCAGCTTGTCTGAGAAGTGGAAAAATGTTTTACCTTTTGTCTTCAAACTTGTGGAACTGTTGAAGATTCATAAAATACAGGTGGAGTTTGAAAATCAACATGATCAGGACATTTTTTCAAAAGTAATGCTGTTTTTTTCGCTTTTTTGAGCATATATGCAACAATGATAAGGAAAACCAATAGGCCTATGGTCTGGAAACTCACAGGTGTGCTCAATCTTACTAAAATAATTTGAAAATAAGCTTAAGTTATGCATTTTTTTGTTTATAAGTGGTTTTTCCTCAGATTAGATTCTAAGGCATGCTAACAGTCTCATTATTGAACTAATTAGATATGTAAAATTGTTCTTTTGACATTTTCTGCACCTTAACAAATATTGTTAGTTGATTATATACAAAAGATGGTAAATCTGACAACGTGTGTTGTGTAATAAAGAGTCAAAAATTGAAGTTAGTTCATATCACTGCAGTTTGCTTTGCTAGTCACATTTCCTAATAATACATGTAGTGCATAATTTAAGATTGGTGGCGATTATGCTGTTAAGCATTATGTGATATTCTATAAAAATTCTGGGCACTGCTGCCATAATGACCATTGAAAGAAAACCATGTCAGAAACTCTTCTCAAACTTACAGGAAAGAAACAGGACTAAAATACAGCTTCAGTTGGAAAACCAGTCTGATTGGTTAATTTTTCTTGGATGTTACACAGTTTTTTTGTGAAAATTTAATTTTTCACATCTTGGCATTGTCAAGGTGTGATTTTGAACCTCCATGGGCTTGAAGACCTTTGCTTGTCACATTTTCTGAATATCCATTTTACTTCATTTTTAAAAATTAATGGTCATTATTCTGTTAAGCATTATGTAATATTGCATCAAAATTGTAGCAAACACTATTTTCAGTGGACACTGCTGCCATGATGACCATTAAGGGAAAACCGTGTTACTTATGATTCCCCAACTTTCAAAATAGAAACATAGGACTAAAATGCAGCCCTAGTTCGCAAAGATTTCTGTGTAACTTTTCCCTTAATTCCTTCGGTTTGAGAGATATTTAGCATTTAATTTTCAAAAACTTTGACAAGGGTGCATTTCAACGAGCGTCATACCTAGGCCAATGCACTGACTGAGACAAAAGAAAAAAAAAAACAAGTAAGTTCAAGTTGAGATTACATGTGACCTAAATCCAAGAGATGGATAAGCAGGTCCTTGTTGTTTAGGAGAAGTGGTAACAGTGACTTATATCCAGCGCCAGAATGTGGAGCCAGCGTAGCTGTACAAAATGGCCAGGACTAAAACCATGAGAACTACTAACATACGCTGGTGGTACTAATTAGTTCAATAATGAGATTGTTAACATGCCTAAGAACTGAACCTGAGGAAAAATCATTTATATACAAAAAGATATAACTTCATCAAAACTAAACCAATCACGATAATTTTTTGACTTGATCTGTAAATTAGTCCTATGAATCCTGCAAGTTTTAAAGCAAAATAATTTTCATTTTATTTGTATAAGGGTGGATAAAATATGATGAGGAAAAAAAAAAAAAAAAAAAAAAACAGCATAACTATTGGAAAAAGGGTCTGAGAGGCTGATTTTCTAACTTGACCTGTATTTCATGAATATTCTGTTCTGTAAGTTTGAAGACAAAATTTAAAATTAATGCAAATTGATCTGATGGATTTAATATGTATAACCATCTTAAATTGGTAATTTTTGTTAACACCATGGTCTATTTGAAAATGACACTGTATAGGGGCCTCAACTCCCCTTTTAAAAATTGGCAGTGAAAATTATTTCCAAATAATCCAGTGTATGCGACATACAAAAGCAAATAAGAGTACATAAAATAAGCTGAAAAAAGAAAAAGAAAACAGCATAACTTCTGTAAACATGGTCCAATCAGGCTGACTTTTTTAATTTGACCTGTATTTTATGAATATTCATCAGTCCCATAAGTTTGAAGAAAAAATGTAAAACAGTTTTCATTTAATTTGTATAATATGTATAATAATTGTACATATAATATGCTAAAAAAAAAAAAGCAAAATACAGCATAACTTTTGGAAAACTCAGGGTGATTTTCAAACTTGACCTGTAAAAGGTAAAACAGTTTTCATCATATTTGTATGACAATGAAAGTGCAGGGTGATGCCAACGCTGATGACAATGACGCCGAGGACAGACACATCACAGTAATATGTACAGACTCTGTGTCTGTAAATAAACATGCAAACAAATCAATTAACTTTATTACAATATGCATACCTTTACTTTATATCCTATGGCAAGCTCTTTTGGAAGGGAGTATGAAAACAAATGGCCAACTTTCACCATGGCATCTTCAAGTTCTAACCTCAACTGTTTAGCAATGGGCTTGCTATCTGCTAATTTATCCTGATTGTCAAAATTGTTCAGCAGACTCTGTATGTCATTTGATTCTGTGGCTGTTACTATAGTAACAGTGACCATGGCCAGAAATACGAAACACAGGAATTTCTGCCCAAATGTCATTTCAGTCACAATTTTTCCAGATACAGAACCCTTCCTGCATTGCCTGCACTTGCCCAGCTCCATCATCAAGAATGTGTCACTTTTAAGTCTTGACAAAATCAGTAGTGAATTCTGTTTCTTTCCTTCTTCTTCGACTACCAATTTTCTAGCACATCTGTAAAAGTAAACAAGACACATATATATTAACATACTGGTATGGTTGTAAATTAGAGAACTGGTGACAAATACCACCAAAGTGTGCAGTAAATGACAGATATACTGAACATAAACAGTTACTGAATAGTGGATTTAGAGACAAGCAACCAAAGCAAGAACAGCCACATTAAAGCAGACCCATTCAAAGTTTTCAAAAACCTTTACCAATGAATTCATCATATATTCTTTCCAAGCTGCCAAATACAGTTAATCAAATACAGATAATCAGACCTCAAAATCATTCCTTACTGCCATAGCCTATATGCCAAAAGACTTGGTGCAACCTAGTTGAAAACGATATAACTGACTAATAACACCACACAGTGTTCAGTGCCCTACCACATCTCCCAAGTTCTCATCTAAATGAGCTGTGACATGCAAGTGTTCACTATGGCCTCATTTAACCATCTGAAACAATAGATACAGATATGTGTGAAGTATGCCAGGAATGTCAGCTCTAGAAAAATGAATGGCAAATGGTAATGATAATGACAGATACTGCCTTTGTGTATAGAAGAAACATACCACAGTGTATAACATAATGACTCATTGACCACAGGCAGGGTTCTCTGGTTTGCTTTGGGCGTGTTCCCAGTGAAACTTTATAGATTGATCCAACTTGGCAGGGACTCTCGATGATTACAATTAGGGCATTCAGAACAGTTGATCCATGGACTAAATATGGCTGACTGACTTAAAAGCAGCGCTGACTTATTCCGTGACGGTCTCCCCACCTCCACATGCATCTTCTTTGCAGGGGCCTTACAATAAATCCTTGGAGCTGAAATCAGAGGACTAAGCAGGGGCTGCCATAAGATCGGTTGGCCATACTTAGTTATTCTGCAGATTATCTTTTTTGAATGCCCTCAATGAGACGAATCAAATGATACATTTCCTCGAGCAACTACAGGATTATTAACCCCTTCGGATTCTTGTACATATATTTATATACCTTGAGAAATGCCTATATATACATATATGTATATATGCTGTGAAGCCTATACTTAAAAATATATACCATTCTGTTAACATTATGAAGCATGTGAACCACGTGATTTCCATCCAATTTATTGCATCTGTGCACCACCTGCTATACATGTGTCCAGTTCTGGTTATAAGTTGACAATTTTTTTTCAACAAATTTTAATAATTTTCACAGCTAAAATGATGATGTTCCCTAAATGGTGCTTACGGTGAAGACGAGGGGTTGTCCATGACAAGAGAGGGATGTTTCTTTGAGAGATCTAATTGAAAATGGAGACATTTTGGACCGAGATATTGACTCCTTAGTTTACAACCATTTAGAGATGATAAAGTGGATTTAGCAGATATTGTCTGAAAACTGGACAGCAGCAGTGACAGAGATTATTAGGAGAGTGTCAGTGACAACAACCATCCACAGATCAGTTTTCTGTATAAAAGTAAGTATGATGTATTTTATTTTTTAGCAGTATTTTTTTTTTTATGTACTGAGTGTCTTAATTTTACATATTTATCTATGTTACAAAAGTGAGTGAAAAGCAAAAAAAAAAGTTTTTTCTGAATAGAAATTAGTGTGTCAAAATGTTATGTTCTTTGCTATCAGAAAATATTTTGTTTCATAGGCTTTATTTCAGAGAAAAAGGAATTATATCATATTGGTGATCAAGGTCAATTGTTTTGTTTCAGTTGCTTATTAACAGGATTACTAGGCAACTTGCCCACTGCTAAATGGAATTCTGAAGGGGATGTGCCCAGCTTCTGCAGGCTTTTTCACTTCCTTTCAAATATGACGGAATGAACACGGAAGTTTATCATCTACTAGCTACTCAAGGAGACATGTCATTTAGTCCATCTGATAACATTTAGCCAGAGTCCTTAAGGAGTTGGATCTATCTACATAGCATGATAGTTTCATTGGAAATGGCCCTATGAATAAAGATTATGCCATAATCATTACTTAAAATAGTACATACTTGCATATTGTTTTAACAGTTTTATCTGGAAGCAACCTCCCATCCTGGAACCACCATGATTTCCTTGATTACACCTTAACCTTACCATCTCAACATATACCCCATTCACACTACAGTTGCAAAAATGCGCATTTCTATAATTCAGATTTTTCGTGAGGAATCCGATTCGGTATTGCGTTCATACTCGTGAAGCGAAATCGAATCCCATGTTGAAAATTTCAGGTTTAACTTCCTGTTTTGAACATTCGCGCATGCACCGCACAGGAAAACTCAAAATACCAACAAAAAAGTTTGACGGCAAATGTATCTCAAAAAGTCATTCCAGCATTCTTGGGAAGCATAAGATGGTAAAATAAGTTTGTTTCACATGTTGTAGTGAGTGGTGACCTCCAAACACGTTTGGTGCAATCGCTAAAGTAATAAACAAGCGTTCATAGATACCCGCACTTATCTGCACACATGCGCAGTAAGATCTGTACAGGTGTCGATTCCGTTATTCGGATCGCGCTTAGAAATCAACCTCGCTTGCAGGATTTTGAAAATTCGCATTACAGAAATCCTCTTGCGTTCACACTACTGCATTTATTCGAATTGTGACCTAATTCGCAACTTATCCGGATAACTGAGCGTAGTGTGAATGGGGTATTAGAAAATGATCTTTGGAATCCCTAGAAATAACAATCATCTGCCTCATACCAGCCTGATCCTTTTGGTCATTTATTTCCCTCTAGCTATAGAGCATAACTCTTGGAACATGAATTCCATTTTTGCATTGGTGCTAGGATACCTGTCATCCTTGTGGTAATAAAAACCAATGACTCTAATACTGCGTTCACACCGAACCAAATATATCACGAAAAATTTGGATTATAGAAATGCGCATTTTCGCAACTGTAGTGTGAATGGGGTATAAGAAATTTCAGATGCCTCCTTGTATGTGTAGACCATACCAAGATGCCTTATTAGATGAGAAAACTGCACATAAATCCATGTGTATCATATAAACACTGAAGGTCATCAACAAGCAACAATGCCTTCTCTAGTGTACAGAGACACAAATTCTATTGCAGAGAAGTCAGGATTTGATATATATATATATATATATATATATATATTTGGTGATGATTTTCCACTTAATCATTAAATCATACATCATATTGCAACAAGATTGACAAAAAACTATTTTGTGCACTGCCATCATGAATGCATATAAAGGCAAACTGTGTTTTTTGTTTTTTTTTATTTACAAGAATGATTCGTACGTAGAATTGACATTCATTTAGACATAAAACATTGAAAAAGAATTGCTGTTTTTATCCAAAAATTGCTTTACTGTGTTAAAACCAGTTTTTACCATTGTACCTTTTTGAAAAGGAGTGACCAAAAAGTCATTATTTTGAAAAATATTTTCCCCCCTTCAACCTTTGAGAAAAATAAAACTTGTTTGAGAAACAAGTAATTAAAAAATACCTTGAATGCAACAAACGTTGCTAAGTGCGTAATTTGTTAAATATGCCCCGTCCACTTTATAATGCAAGGTTGCAATTAGGCTTATCTTGATCCCTCTCCTTTATCAGGAGGTATGTTTCTTATCAAAAAGACAATTCTCAACTTACTTTTCAGGTAAGTTCATATAAGTTAATCAAGATGCAATATTATTTACCACCAGAAAAAGACTTAGGAAGTGGTGATAAATATCTCACAAGGATAAAAGCTGATAAGGATAAAAGCCTGAAGGTTGGAGTTTTGAAAATATTGTCATACCCAAGAGTCGGGGAGATGTAATTTTTTTTTTAAATCGTCGGATTTACACAATTCAAAATATTAATTAATTTTTAAGCAACAAAATTTTTACCGAACCTAAGTAACATGGTTTTCCCTTATGTTCATCATGGCTGCAGTGTCCAAAAAAAGGGTTTTATTTCAATTTTGATGCAATACTACATAAGGCTCAACAGCCCAATGACCATCAATTTTTAATAATAAAACATAAGTATCATGGATATTCAGAAATTGTGATTAGCAAAGGTCTTCAAGCCAAAGTAGGTTCAAAGTCACAACTTACAATTTTTAATGTCCAATGTGCTCCATTCTGAGATTCTGAATCTAGTGAGGGATTGAACGTGACAAACTACACTGATGGGTTTATTTCCTTATCTGACTATTTATTACACAATACATGATAACAAACTAACCAATATTTTTTATATAATCAGCTAATAATATTGTTAAGATACAAAAAATGTTAAAAGAACACTTTTGCCTAAGTTGTTGAATTAAACATTACTACCTCAAAATCCCTCTTTGGGAATTGCACTGCAAGCCTTTAAATGGGTTGCCCTATTTGATCCCTGGACTAGTTAGTCTGCTTTTGTGCAGCTATAGTCTTATTCACCTAATTGTTACAAATGAACTTCAGGAGAAGCTTTTATTTCCAACTTAAATGTCCAAATCAATAACTTGCCTAGCATCTGAACAGAAATGCCAGTGCCATTTTTCACAACAAATCACATGAAAAACTTTTGGATGGGTATTAGTTATTCACATAAAAACACATACTGCTCTTACAACAACTTTATACTGATTGAATGCTATATTTTTCACAAAATACTTTGATCATAATTCTTAAAAGGGGGAGTGAATATTTTTTTCTACTTTGGGGACAAATACCCAACTTAATTTTCTCTACCTTCATTTTATCATTTTAACTACTGCTAAATATCAGATACGGAAATATAATTATTCATTTTTCTTTAAAAATTGTCACTATTGCAATGATGATTTTGACATGTTTCTTGTTATAACAACAATTTCTTTATTCCTCTATAGATTCCCTTTCATGCATACAGCAACACCTGTACCCAATCCCTGGGCCTGATATCCAATACCCCTCCAGTGCTTTCAATTACCACCAAAGGTTTGGCAGGTTAATTGTTATCACAAAGCAAGAAGATTAAATATATCAAGCTGTATATCCCATCTATCCTCCATTTTTCACCACTGTCCAGTCATGCACCTACCATAATCATGTTCCTGTCCTTGTTTTAAATCTTAGAACATAACAGCTGAGAGGTACTTCACAAGCATTTTCATTCAAACCACTGATACTTCAAGCAAAGCTTCTTGAATCCCCAATTTGTAAGCTACATACCTAACAGTAGACCTTGAAAGGCAGTAGAGCACAATTTTGATTGCTCACAGAACAGAAGACATCTTGCAGAACTGAAAAAATACAGAATTCTCCCAACCATTACATGAACTTAACTTGGTTCTGGCTGGGGTCGCTCTGCACTTGTCAATTTCGCCGATTGTGAAAACAAATTGACTTTGGTGAAAAAATTGAAAAATGAGCATAGTAATTTTGCCAAATTGATGAAAACATATCTGTTCAAGACAGGTACAAAAACTTGCCATAACTGTTCGTCACAACTGTGAAAATGTTTCTGCTTATAA